CAAAATACAAATAATAAAAGTAAACAACAGTCGCACAACCATACATGTCGAGAGGGGAGGGAACTCATCACCCCCATGAAGCTGCTTTAATCCATTTTGGGGTAAATAAAGACTCGAGTGGATAGGATGGAGATGTAGGCTGGGTGTGGCTATGTGATACTTATGGGAAGAAGATTCATGATTCCTAAGAATCCTAGGTATGGAGAGGTGTTTCCAAGAAATTTTTAATTATTTAAAAGGTACATTAAGCTAAGGTTTGCATTACATCTTGCCTTTCATGGATTGCAAAATAGTAAGCAATTAAGCCAAGGACTTCCAGAAACTCTGGTGAGGGGTAGGTTTGGGAACCACAAAGTTGAAACAAAAATAACAGGTGGGCAGTGTCATTATAGTGCTGCTATGCAGCCTTAAGGGATGAGCTCCTGTAATACATAAATTCTAAATCTTAACACATTGCAACCACAAGCTGCAAACAAACAGCATCACAACTGCCAACTAATAAACCGTATCGTGGCTTAAAGTAGTGGCTTGCTTCACATAACCTTTGGTATCAAGGGCTGGGTTTTCGCAACATGCTGAATTGCAAATTTCCTAACACTTTTACTGGGTTTGTCAGTCACACTCTCTGTTGTATAAATCCAACCAAATTGTTTGCAGATAAATTATCTGAATGGCTGAGCTGCCCACCTTTGAGAACTACCAGTGGCAGAAGGGAAATGGTTGCATTCAGTTGCTACATTTAGATTTTTGTTTCTTTAGGATGCACCCTTCAGCACGTTTCTCCTTATGGATTTGCTTAGAGAGAAATGGCTTTTAGCATTGTCCCAAACGTGCTTTTTCAAAAGGACTTCCTTTGTTTTTCCTTGAAGAGGTCTCGTTTCTCATCCACGAAGCTTCTTCAGTTCTGACTGAATGGCGGAGAATGGAAGGATTTACGTTCCTTGCAGTCATCTGGTTGTTAGCACTTTTTCTGAGAGTCGCTGAGGCCACCTGGAGGTTTATCTGTGCCCTCCGGGTCACCTGAATGATGCAGATGGGGGTGGAACTCTCCATTAAAGGACTGTCTATGGAGATTCTTGGTCGCCCAGGTTGTGGTTTCCCCAAAGGTGCTTTTTCAAAAGGCAACTGTACTTCCTTTGCTTTTTTCTTGAAGAGGTCTCGCTTCTCATCCAAGAAGCTTCTTCAGTTCTGACTGTTTTTTTTTTTATTACAACATGGAATGTTGAATGTTGATTTTATTTATATGCTGTCCTTTTCCCCCGAAGGGGACTCAGGGTGGCTCACAACTCAACCAGGGAAGGGGGATACAAACNCATCACTACTCTTTTGCCCCGTTTCACCAGCAACCACCTCTTCCTTATTAAGACCTCTGAGTGTGCGTTTCCTCTATAGAGTTACAAGCATCCACCAGCCCTCTCCAACCCGGCAAGGATTTAATCCTCGAAGTGATCCACCAACTAACCCCCCAACTGAAGATAAGAGGGTGGGGGCTGCACAAAAAAAAAAGGACATCATCACCACCACCACCACCCACCCCTCCTTAGCCCCCTTTTCCATCGGGGGGACGGCGCCAGCTGGGACCAAAACACGAGCCTGCCTGCCTGCCCTTAAGATGCTAATCCCGCTGATGAAAGCGCCCGAGAGATGATCAAACGCTGAAAAGGACGGAAGATTGCACTATTTTGACCCCCTTCGACTTCCATAAATATATATTTTTGGAGAGAGAAAAAAAACTTGGTGGGACCTTAAAAAAAAAAGCGCCCACTCTTCCTTGCCCCCAGCTTCGCTTCCGTTGGCATCCATCCGCTCCTCCGCCCTGCCCAATTTCGTCTGGGTGATGGTAAGTTTCGCCTCACTTTCCAATCTTTGGGCTTTGCTTGGCGGGGGCCCAGAGAAGTTTATGGGCTTTTCTTGGAGGGCGGAGGAAGAAAGTCCTGCGGCAGGTGGATCGGGGCAAAGAGAGGGGAGTTCACCCGGGAGCAAAACAAGAGGAAAAGAACTGAGATCTGTAAAACGGGTGAGGGGTGGGGGGTGTTGCACTGCCCGTAGGGTGAGGAGGGGGGATGATGGGTTCTGATTAAGTGGGGACCCCCCCTTCCCCCGCCCTTGCAAGAGTGCGCCGCCGATTCGGTGCACTTAACCATTGTGCCTCCTCCAGGAGAAGACCCCTGTCTCTCCCCGTCCCCCACTCCCGGTTGCCGCAAATTGCTGCTAGTGTCACCGTTTAATGCGGGGGGGGAGGCGGCGGGTGGTGGTGGTGAAACGTGAGATTGAGAGGGGGAAAGAGAAGCGGAGACCCAAGGCGAGCTGCGTCTGCGGAGTGTCTGGATAGCTCTCCTCTCCTCCGGTGCGCTTTTACGCATGGAATTGGGGAGGGGGGGAAATGCGTAAGATCTGTGCAGGAGGCGGGAGGCGAGAGGGGCGAAAAGTATGGCACACGCTCACTCTCGGCAGCAGCCAGCTTAGCCTAGGCTCGAGGTAGCGGAAAATGGCCGCTCTGGCGAAGGGGGCGGAGAAGGAGGGCGGGCGAGCTAAGCGAGCCGAGCTGAACTTGAAAATGACGCCCAGCGGGGAGGGAAGAGCCACCGCGGCTGTGCAACGCCAAGGTTGCTCCGGCGGCTGCCTTTCCCTCCGGCTTCTCTTGCGCCAAATGAGCCTACGGCCTCCCCCCCCCCGCCCGCCCTCGGCCAGGCCTTCCCCGCCCAGCTCAGAGGAAAGGCCGAGCAGGAACTCCCTCTCCAGAGCGGCTCTCCCGCCGCGCCCGGCCCCGCCTCGCCTCGCTGTGCCCCAGCCCTTCGCGCGTCAAAATTCGCTGTCTCGCGGGCGAAGCGAGCTGGGCCCTGCGGCAGGAGGAGGCAGGCCGCCTCGTCAGCAGAAGCTGCGAGGTGCCGCTGCGGAGCACCGGCTGGACAAGAGGGGGGGTGGTGGAGAGAGAGGCGGCCGCTCGGCGCGCACACCGATGCAGCTTTTGCGGCAGCGGGCCTCCTCTCTCCTCCCAGTTCTTGCTCTTCGACCTTTTCCTTCACCTTCCCCCCCCCCCCGGACTAGAATTCATCCCCATGTATATATACAGCTACCCATTGGGGAAGCTGCCCCACCACCCCAGCCTTCATGTTGGAGATGCGGAGGGGGGGGGAGGATGTATTTGTGCGCGCCCGCCGGTCCTTCCCCCAGCTGCAGCCTTTAAGACCGGAGCCTCCGCGCGGAGCAAAGCGGGCGCCTCTCGGCCGAGGCCGACTTCTGCTGCGTCAAAGCAAAGCAGGGTGGCGTTTCCTTGCACGGATCTCCTGCCTTCCCCTTTGGTGGACGAATTGCGACCGCAGGACTATGTGTGTGTGTGTGTGTGTGTGTGTGTGTGTCTGTCTGTCCCTGCAAAAAAAAAAAAAAGGAAGGTCGGGGCAACCCCTAAAACTCAGAAGTTAAAGGCAGTGGCGCTTTAAGCGGAGTAAAAAGGTGTTTGGGATCGCCCGTTGGAAGGGCTGATGGTGATTGGGGAAAGGGAGGGGCGGTGAATGGACGGGCTGGTGTAGGAAGACCCGATGTCATTCTTTCCTTAAGTGAAGATCGCCGCCCGCCTTTTACTCTCTCGGCCGAGATTGTTTCCCAGTTAACCGCGTAGATCTTCTCCGCCTTGGAGCCACAGTCCCTGGGAGTTACCCCCAAATAAATATGAATAGGTACGCAATTGGCCCTCCTTCTTTTGCGCGAGGAATCTTGCCCTGGGAGGGGGGGGGGGTTTACGAAGAGAGAATCTGGCTCCAGAGAAGTGAGACACCGGTTCGTCTGAACATCCCGGCCCGTAACTTCAAGAGAGAAGTTCTGCTTGGCTTGGGCCCCCAGTTTGCGCCTCAGATCCTCTGCGCGGTCTGTCTTGGCCCCATTTAAACCAGAGGCAGGCTGCTTTTATCTCTCTTTCTCTCTCACACACACCGACGCCTTTACCTTTCAGTTACTGTACAATTTCCCTCTGACTTTGCAGGAGCGATGGTGCTTTTCATGTAACCTTGACTCAAACCGAGCGAAAATACCTGTCAACCAGGAGAGACGGAATTTCTGNCTCTTCAAGGGCTGCCCCATGTAGAGCACGTTGCAGTAGTCCAGTTGCCTTTTGAAAAAATGCCTTTGGGATAACCCTGCACTGCACAACTGAGAATCTCCACAAACTTTTTAGCCCTGATTTCCATCTGTAAAATTCTGCTGATCTGAGTCCTCTTGTTTTGTTTTATCGGGCGTTCTGTCGTTCGTTGGGTTTTATCTGAAAACTAGTTGCTGAATTCCTAACCCCAGAAATTTCAAAAACAGAGCTGGCATCCGAGGAAATGGCCAGCGTTTTTGCATTCAGGAATGAGTTGGGAGAGGCTATTTCAAGAACTGGAGTTATGGTTCTTTAGCTATAATTTTGCTGTGTGTCTTTATGGAAAAACACCCTTAGGGGATTTTAAATGGTTGATTTAGTTCTGAAAAGAAATCTTTGCTTGAAATTTCCCCCTTGCTGTCACCCCAAAATTGCTTCTGCTCTATTCCAGGCATGCACAGAATGTCACCATCCAGCTGAGAGATAAATCTGCTTCTCTGTGAATTCAGAGTGGCATGGAAAGGGGTTTCTCCCCCCCCTTTTTTTTCTCTCTCTCTCTTTCTCTCCTGCTTTGCAGTTCCCCAATTAAAGATTAAAACCCTGGCAAGTATTTCTCTTGACACTGTTTTTGGGGGGGAGCGAGCACAAGCACAGTGTGGATCTGGGAACATCCGTATTCCTGGCAAGGTGGCTACGGCAGCTGCTGGTGCCACTGTAGTTTGGAGGAGTTTCCCAATGTGATCCCAAAGGCTCAAAATAGCCCTGGCAAACTTTGTGCCACTCCTAGCCAGGACTTTAGAGTGACCTGCTTGAGTCGTGTCCAGGTCCTTGACTGCTTCTCTCTGTCTCTGTCTGTCTCTCTCTTTCTCTCTCTCTCTCTCTTTCTATGTCTCTCTGTCTGTCTCTCTTTCTGTTTCTCTCTCTCTCTCTCTCTCTCTCTCTCTCTCTCTTTTTCTTTCTTTCTTTCTTTCTTTCTTTCTTTCTTTCTTTCTTTCTTTCTTTCTTTCTTTCTTTCTTTCTTTCTTNTGTGTGTGTGTGTGTGTGTGTGTGTGTGTGTGTAAAAATGTCAGGGATGCATGTGTGAAAGATGGTGCTAGTGTGTAGCCAGATGGGAGGAAAGAGTGTGTGCCCTGCCGTTTGTTCAATCCCAAGTGTGTGTGTGTGTGTGCATGCGTGTGTGTGTAGTTATTTGCTACAACTGTGCTGCTCCTTCATGCCTTAAAATATTCACACCTCATGCTGGGTATGTTTTATGAGAAAGTTGTCAGGCGGATTTGCTAAACTATGAATCCGCAGCATTCATTGCTTGTGGAAAAGTTTCAGGCAAATATCTTGTGCAAAATGCACACAAAACATACAATGCCTTGGCTTAAATGCTGTCCTTCGCATTTTGAATTAATAGCAAATGAAATTGTATTAACGCTCATGGGATGTTGGATAAACCATGAAATTCTACTGCAGATTATTGGGTCTTCTCTCACTGTGGAGGAGAGCAAGCCAGTTGTGTTAACAAGTACATGGCCTGGAGCACACCTTCCCATCAGTGGCCTTTGTTGTGCTGTGATTTGGGGACTACAGCTCCCATGTGCCACTTGGGGCACCTTGCACCTCTGCCTTGGTTTGGCGTTGCAGTTTCTTCCCTCGTTCTGTGGGGTTTCTTCTTTTTTTCCCTGTTGCAAGTTTTGTAGCAGGCGTGCCTGATGTTGTGGTGGGTCAAATATTTGAGCAGGCGCATTTTGACTTGGCACAGCCTCACTCTGGACTTTCTATAGTTATGTCCCCTGGAGCGTGGCAGGCTGTTCTTTCTCTCGCTCTTATCGATTCCTGATATTTTATTTAATTATTGAACACCAAGACTCTCTTCTCGTCCCAGTGTAACTCCTTCCTTACTGCAAATGAAAAGTGCATTCTATAAAAAAAAACCTCCCCTCCAAAATACAGAGATATCTCCAAAATACAGGGATCTCAGCTCCTTAGTTCTGAGCAGGCCGAAGACTAGAAGTGGGAAGCAAATGGGGCTGATTGCAATTTTATTTTATTTTATTTGTTCTCATTGGGCAAGGCGGCATTTAGGCCATTTCAAAAGGATGGGGGGCGGGGGCTTCCCAAACTCTTGGCATAACCCCAGTAGCCTCCAGCTTGAGGGATTGAGAGTGGCAGAGAAGCAGAATTATTTGGCGAAACTCAATGAATGCTTGGTCCAGTTTCAAAGCTCAGCTGAAATGTAAAACTTTTGAATTCTGAACGGTTCCTTTTTGCAATTTACTTTCCACGGTCACCCTGAGGAAGCACTGTAATTTTCTGAATGAACACGGAAGCCTTTTTTTAAAAATAACAATGTATTTCCTTACAGTTAGCCCTTAGTTGAGAAAGGGCCTGAACTGGAAAACAAATGACATTACTGCAGGCACAAGCGTGAGATCTATTTGTTTATTTATTTTAAATCAGACTGTAAAACTGAAGTGTATAGAAAGTAGGATCAAGCAAAGCTGAAGTTGGCAATTAAAAGTCCTGCAAACTCATAAAAAAAGAGCTTTGATTCTCACGGTTCTGGACGCCATTTTGACTTTTTAAACTTCTGCCTGAAAAATTATTTTTCTCCAAGGAAGGCCAATGTTTTGAAAAAAAAAGAAAAAAGAAAAAGAAAAGCCAAAGAACTGTAATCTGCCGATATCAAATGCAAGGACTACCGTGTTTCAGCTAGCCCAATAGTTATCCAGCGTTGTGATACAGGTGCTGTTTTTTGCTGAAAAGACGCATTTTAT